ACTAGGGGCTGAAATGAGTCCAGAAAAATACAGTTTAATGTTCAATATGTCATAATCAAGGGTTTAGAAGTGATTGGATGCTTTGTAGAAGCTCCAAGGTCAAAATCCACTGGATGGCAAGTCCAATGGCATAGGTTGTAAATATCTGAGGGTTTTACAACCTATGGATTTTAATTCAATTTATGGGGTTAGAGACCTCAGAAATGGCTCAAATTTGAAGGGTTACCTCTAGAGACATGTCTTATCACTTTGCAAGTGATAGACTCTGAATCGGAGGTCGTTTGATTGGTTTTTGAAGTGTTTGAAAATTTGCTAAAAAAGGCTTTCAGGATTTGGACCTTTGACCTTAAATTTTGGTTTCAGATTCTGGATTTGGATTGGGTTTTGAATTTGGTTTTGGATTTGATTGATTAAATGTCTGGATTGATTTATGATCTAGGTAGATCCTAAAGTCCGACTTCTAGAAAGATCTTAAGGTCTAGAGTAGATCCTAAGGTCTAAAGTCTAGAAGGATTCTAGGATATATCCTAAGGTCAGGATTCTAGGAAGATCCTAGTGTTTGAATTGATTTGGGAATTGAAATGATTTAGGGGCAAGATTGGTCCAAGTGACCTCATACAAAAATGAGGTCAACAATCCTTTTGCATGATCATTCTCAATTTAGTCAAGGTCAACATGCTATCACCCCCTCCATTAAATTCAGATGTTCACCTTCATTTATGTTATAAATGGAGCCCTGGATAGGAAACATCTTGGGAGGCCATCAATTGTTACACCTAGAAAATTAGTATATCATTAATTAAACCTATTTTGACCTAACTATATTCAAGAAAATTCATTAAATTTTTATATTTTAACCTTTATGCATGTGTCTGAGAATATTTTATCTATATGTGAGAGTATAAATATGCTCAAAAGTGGGTCTTAATGGTAAATTTTTCTCTGGGGCATTACAATGCTTGGGTTGGCAGCACTTCAACGCGAGTGCTCTTAGAAAAATTAAAAATTAATTCAACGTGGCAATGCTACAGGGTGGTGCAACGACGTTGCATGTGGGCTCTCTGAGGGAGCGTCATGGCTAGCGCTGCATGGCATTGCGGTGCTAGGCTAAAATTTAATTAATATTTAAAATATCCAAATCCATTATTCACCCATTTCATTTTCTCTTATGGTAACCAGTTAGTGAGAGAGGTAGAGGAAATATTAGAGATAGAAATTTAGATTTGGGTTGCTTCAATTTCTTTTATACTAACTTACTATTTTTGAAAGTTTCTTGAATCAAGGTATGTGATATTTTGTCTAACGCAGTTTAAAAAATATAAAAATTTCAAGAATTTTCAAATTTAATTTATATTTTAAAAAAGAGGATAATTTTACATCTATAAGTTTTTTACCATGTAACTTTTTGTATGTTATAGAGACAATGATTTTAGACATTTAAATATATTTTCTTCAATTCTACAATGGGGATTTTGGGAATTTTACACTAGGGAATTTGGAAAATTTATACTTGGGATTTTAATTGACTAGAAAAATAATTCTAACTCTTAAAAATATTTTTACTGTATAATTAAAGCTTAAAGATAATGTTTTAAATAATCTTTAGTAATTTTGTTATGTTTTGAAGTAGTATATTTATACTCAGTGGTACAGTTAGCTGCCTACCATTATAACATTTAGTGAAATTATGAAATGAGTTCATTTATGTTTTAATTACTGCAATACAATGAATTATGTGTTTATTTGATTGGATATTTAGATGTTTTTATTAAACAAAATATTTTTAGTGGTATAGTGGTGCAGGGATTGAAACCACAACGCCACAACGCTCTGAGACAGAGATTCTAGCATAACTGCACCAATTCTCCCATGCCACTGCACTGCTCATTCTTAATCTATATAAACAGAGAAGCTAGTGTCGATATGCTCGTTAGCACATCGCAACAATGCTCCCCATAAAATTTTCATGCATGCAAGACTTTGAATATGGATCATTAACATACCATTAATAGATCTTTAGTCATGAGAAAGTTAGGGCTATTATAGGTTCTCTTATCTTTACTTATAAGTTTCTATCGAGAACATTTATTGCTTGGTATTCTTAATGCAATGCTAATGTATTATCTTGGTTTATTTCTTAATGTGAAACAACTTGGTCTTATGAAGTTGGTAGATTAGTTGCTTTATTCACTTAGACTTCATCACTATTTTGTTGGGAAGTTTGATTCTCTAGCTTTGGGAAAATTATTAGGTCCGGACGCCAGACTTAGAAATAGGTCCGGATATCCAATAAAAATTTGCCACATAGACTGTGCTTTGACTGTGCGCTTTAATTGAGCTTTGAATGCACTTTAACTGCGCTTTGACTGCGCTTTTTCTGTGCTTTTGACGCGCTTGACTTAAAATTCCGCATACACATGTATATTTAACGTGTCAAATTTTTAGTGGATGTCCGGATATATCTCTACGTCCGGTGTTCGAACCAAATAATTTTCCGATGCAACGAGGATTTTTGAAGCCATTTCCAGATACCAAATATCATATCCCTGATTTTGAAAGAGGAAGCCAATTAGTACGTGGGAGGAAAGAAACTTTTAACAAGCAACACTCTTCCTTAAGAGGTGTAATTGAGAGATCATTTGGTGTTTGGAAGAAGAAGTGTGTCATACTACGAGATATGTCTACATATTCATTCAAAAAACAAATAAAAATAGTGATAGCAACCATGACATTGCATAATTACATACGTCGACATCCCAGTCGGGAAGACCCTGATTTCAATATATGTGATGCGGACAGAACATATATACCAGAGGAGGCATATGAGTATAGAATTGGGCAATCAGTAGTAGAGACAGAAGGGAATGATTTTAATCGGGAGGTACGAGATGGTGAAGGAGCAGAGGAGATGGTCCAATTATGGAGAAAATCACAGATGCATTGATGGATGAGATGAATTAGGAAGTTTCATATGTTTGACCAAGATTTACTACACTTAGAAACAAACTAACGGTAACTTGTCACCCATTAGTTTGCCAGGGAATATTAGAACACTAAATAATTATACTTGTATATTTCTGTAAGGTTTACATAAGCCAAGATCTGTACACGTGGCACAATGCTATTTGTCACAGCTTTGTATAACCTCGCCATTATCTCTATATAAGAGATGTCTGTACCATGGTTTTGTGTAATGAGAATAATGATCTATTTTCCTTCTCTCACTGTTTCTGCTAATAAGAGATTTTAGGTTTCTTTAAGTGTGATATCTTTCCCCAACTTGTTCTGTAAATTTCAATATAGAATGACTCTTTGAAATCGTAATTATAATTTTTATTATTTTTTTAATTTTTTGTACGACTTACAAATATTTATAATGAAAATTTATTTTTTACAACAATATAATTTTTTTTGGCAGCTTTAATACATTTTAAAAAAATTGTACCAACTTAAGAAGTGATACAATTTTGATTTAGAATTGTTAGTTGATTATCATATACATTTTAAAAAAAATTAAATTTTTAAAAATTATATATTTCATCTAAATATATATAAGGGTATGATGGTAAATTGTTCCCATACAGCTGCTGAGCTGCAGCACAGCAGTTCTACAGTAACGCTATCCAAACAAAATATAATGATTTATATAAAGCAACTTCAGGAAGCAACTTTCTGTACAACAATTTTACAATCTACTTTACCGACAGCTGCAGCCGTCCCTAACGCACCCTTATTCTCATTTTTCTGTTTTGAGGCTTTTTTGAGCTTTTTTTTTCTTGTAATTTTTTGCATCTTTAATATATGGGCAAAGCCTAAATTTTCTAAAAAAAAAAAAAAAAAAAAAAAAAAAAAAAGAAAAAAAAATCAACGACGCAGAGGACAAACCAGTCAGATTCTCGCCCGATAGAACCGAGACCAGGGTTTCCGTTCTTAAACCTCCACGCTACTATTTTAAAACTCGCCATCTTTCGCGGTTAACGTTTACGCTTATCTAAATAGATTAACTGTGTACGTTGTCTCCGCGGCAAGCGGATGGTGGAGCAAGAGCGGCGGAGATGGAGTAGGAGGACGTAAAGCTGGGTGGAGGCTGGCGTTAGGGTGTGGAATAGAGGAGGCCCGGGGCTAGAAGCCTGGTTTTCGTCTGATCCCGCCCACAAGAAATCGAGCTTCTCTGAGATCAGGGCGACGAAGCAGGGTAAGAACTAACCCGCATTGCTTGTTTTTCCCTTTTATTCCTTGTGTATTTGGATATCAATGTAGTTTTTGTTTGCATTGGCATGGGAGTTGGAGTCGGACTTTGCATTGGTTTGGATTGATGGACTAAATATTCAATGGATTTGTAGCGTTTTTCTTCATTTTGTCGTTTAATTTGTTTTCATTGTTTTTGTCTGGATTATATGTTCTTTGTCGTTTAGGGAGGTTTTCCATTGCTGCTGCTTTTATGTACTTTGTTTGAATATTACTAAATGGAGGCCACGTGCTGCTTGGTGCTGGTTTATTGGGATTTTACTATAATTTTAGATTGATCGTATAGCCGTGCATTACATGGTAAATTAAAGTATTGTCTAGATTTTCTTAGAATCACCATCTCACCATCCTGCATCCACCCATTCATTCTGGCGAATATTAATTTTTTCATTGGAGCTTTTTCCAGTAAACGTATTTTTAATCTAAAATTTATGATGAGTTCGTAGCAAGAGGCATCAAGCGGGATTAGGTTACCGGATGAAAAATGCCGGAACTTGGATCATTTGGAGGATCTTGTAGAGTTGTAGTATTACGACTTAATTTGTTTGGTTGACTGTAAGGGTAATATATTACGCAGTCAATCAATTTGTTTGGAACAGAAAGAGATAGTTGGAGTTTAGATTTTAGTTGTTAGTCATGCTTAGCTGCTTAGGGGTCTGAGAAATTGTATTAATTAATTACTAGGCTAATTTTATGATGAATGACTGACTACCAATAAGACAACAATTAGTTCATCAATGTATGCTTGGAATTGTGCTATTAACAAATTTTCAGTAATGACTAGACCATTTATTGCGTGATTATTGTGTATAGTAATGGCTAATAGTGATGCTAATTAGTTGTTAGTAATTAACTAATTATATGCTTATCTATTCAAACCATTATTTGTAAGGCTGAGGACATATGAACTAGTGGTAGACCTATAAGGAGGTCACTATTTAAATCATGGTTAATTGGGTTATTAGCCACTAACATCTGTTTGATAATTAAATAATTAATTGATTGCAAATTAGGTTTCTATTTAATTGATTTTTGACGGAGAAATGTGTGATGGGTGGAGGGTACTAATTGAATCTCTAATTTGGGTTAAGATGTTTGTTTACTAATGCTTAAAGAGTTAACAGTAAGAACAATATTGAATTTGAATTGATCAAATAATTTGCTTTATTGTTGGGTTAAGACGTTTGTTTTAACATTTTGAGAAACTTAAACCAGAAGTAATAAAATTACAAAGTGAGGACTTGATTTGAAAGTCTTTCATTTTAATATTTTACTTTTAACTAATATTTATTACACTTCATAATTACAAATAAGTTATTAAGTGCTAAATGTGTGAAGTAGTATATATAGCTTTACTCTAGCTTTATAATGAGCATAATTTTAAGTCTTAATCGAGTTTACATTGAACCTTAATCAACTTTTTTATGAGCTTACTCATGAGCATTAAATGATATTGTTTATGATCACAAACAAGCTGAGCAACAAGATGTTTAAGTTTGTTAATCTAAAAATAAAATATTTATAAAAGTGTTTAACTTTGTTCAATTGTTGAATTAAAAAAACATATGCAAGCTTTTTTCTAGTTTAGCCACAAGCTTGTCGAACGTTCAATTCATTTGCAGCCCTACTGGTTGAGCTATTAAGAGTATGGAAGTCTTTTCAACAATTTTTTTCTTGTGAATATCATAAAAATCTTGTTTATGTATTTCAAAGCATGTGATCTTATAAGAAGTTTGCCACTACCATTCTTGGTGCTTTTATTCGCTTGAAATGATACAACAACTTTTCATTCTCACTTGCCTAAGGAGATAGTAACAATTTATAAATTTCCACATGTTATATTATAAATTTCATTTCCATTGCTAGGTCTTAAACCCTGAATAAGAAAAGTGGAGGGTTGCATTATGTAGTCAACAACTAGCGTAAAACTTTTCGAATAATTATGACATGAATCCTTTAAAACATTGTATTAATGCTACGATATTTCTTGGAAGTGACGTGCTGCTTGGCTTGAATAGAATAAGAAGTATGTAAGGCCTACTATACCGGCGCTCAGGTAATATGTTAAATAAGTCAGGATTCTCATATCATAGACAAATGCGAACAATGAAGCTGGTCTATGAAACTAAAATTATGATAAAAAATTGAAATATAAGTTATCTTATAAGCAAATTAATGGAATTAATAGATATTATGATTCATAGGAAGATAAATATTTTATGCATTCAAGAAATTAAATAGGTTGGAGAGAAAGCTAAAGAAATTGATATTTTTAGATTTAAATTATAGTATTCAGGTGAGAGTTATACTAAAAATGATGTATATGTCATATGTGATTATAGATAAGTGTCTGAAAGATAATGTTCTAGAAATTATTAATATTATAGCTTTAAAAATTGTACTTGATGCTAAGATTATTAATATTATAATTGCATATGCTTCTCAAGTAGGTTTGTATATATGATCAAAATTAAAATTTTGAAATGATTTAGAAGAATTAGGATATCTCGTGAAGAAAGAGTTTTTATCGAAGAAAATTTAAATAGACAAATTGGTAGAGTGGTAGAAGATTCCCGAAGCATTTATGGCGGGAATGAGTTTGGAGCGATTGATGAAGGTTGTAGGATCATATTAGATTTTGCTTTTGCTTATAATTTTGTAATTGTTAAATGTTAATACCTTATTTAAGAAAAGAAAGGAGTATCACATCACTTATAATAATAGATATAATAAAATTTAGATTGATTATTTTCTTGTAAAAAATATATCGGTTATATTGTAAAGATTGTAAAATTATTTATAGTGAAAGTTTATGTATCTAACATCGCTTATTAGTTTTGGACCTTAAGTTGAGGGGCATAATATGAAAAATAAAATTAAATCTTATCCTAGGATTAAATGGGGGTATTTAAATAACACAATCGAAGTTATTTTTGAAAGTAGGATTCAAGATCTTAAAATTTTTACTGTGCATGAGAAAACTAATGTTATGTGGGAAAAAGTGATTAGTGATATTAAGAATGTTGTAAAGTATGTGCTTTGAGTATCAAAGAAAAGACTTATAATAATAAAAATAATTGGTGGTAGATTCAAAATGTGCCTGTTAGGAGTAAAATGTGCCTGTTAGAGTAAAAGGAGTCTGTTAGACTTATAATAGCAAAAAAGATAAAAATAAGAATCTTTATTATAAGAATTTGTTTAGATGTAAAAGCTCGAAAAATTAAAAAAGATATAAAGGGGCCTGTTAGGAGTATAAGAAATCAGTATATGATGTACAAAATTTAGCTTTTAATGATTTATATAATAAATTGGATACTAAGAAGACGAAATTTGTGTTTATAAGTTAGCCAAGCAAAAAGATAGGAGAAGTAAGGATTTACTTCAAGTGAAGTGCATTAAGGATTAAGATAAAAAAGTATTTTAATTAGAAGAGAATGTTTAATATAGGTGGATGAGAAATTTCTATAAGCTTTTCAATGAAGATTATGAGAATACGATTGACTTTAGTGATCTTAGTGCTATAGGTAAAAATAGAGATTTTTTTTTATCGTCAGATTAGTAAAACTGAAGTTAGAAAGACTTTAAAGAAAATAAAGTGTAGAAAAATTGTTGGACCTGATGATATTTCAATAGAGACGTGGAAATGCTTAGGAGATGAAGGAATTTCTTAGTTTATGAAAATTTTTAAAATTATTTTGAAGACTAGAAAGATGCCAGAAGATTGGAGGAGTGTGTTGGTTCCTATTTTTAAGAATATAAGTGATACACAAGTGTGTGCAAATTATAGAGGAATCAAGTTAATGTGTCATACTTTAAAACTATGGGAGGGAGTTATGGAGCATAGGTTACGACTTGATATTAATGTTTCTCAAAATCAAATTGGATTCATGCCAGGTAGGTCTACCATGGAAGCTATACATTTATTAAGAGGTTTGATGGAGAAGTATAGAGAGAATAAGGAGGATCTACATATGATATTTATTGATTTAGCAAAAGCATATGATAAAGTTACAAGAAAAGTGCTATGGAGAGTTATAGAAAAGAAAGGAGTTAATAATGTTTATAATCAAGTCATTAAGGATATATATGTAGGAGCTGTTACTTGTGTTCAAACACAAGGTGGTTTGATCAAGTATTTTCTTATTTCAGTTTGACTACATTAAGGATCAACTTTAAGCTCATATCTTTTTTTGCATTGGTCATGGATGATCTTACTAGACATTTGCAAGAGGAAGTACCTTGGTATTTGTTTTTTGTTGATGATATTCTTATTGTTGATAAGGCTAAAGAGGGCGGTGAAGGAAAATTTGAATTATAGAGGTCAATTTTAGAGTCTAAAGATTTTCATTTGAGTAAATCTGTAGTCTAAAATTGAATATATAGAGTATAATTTTAGTAGTAATAGATCTATCGGTGGAATTGTGACTTTGGGCGATCAATTCATTGAAAAGAGTACATGTTTTAGATATCTCTAGTATATTGTTCTAAGTGATGGTGAAATAGATGGGGATATTATTAGTATAATTCAAGTTGGATGGTTGAAATGGAGGAATGTATCGGGCCTATTGTGTGATAGAAAAGTACCCCTCGAACTTAAGGGAAAATTCTATAAGATGATGGTAGACCTACAATGCTTTATGGTGCATAATGTTAACCAGTAAAGGAGAAGCATAAAATTAAGTTTAGCGTTACAAAGATGAGGATGCTCAGGTGGATGAGTGCCTTCACTCTAAGTGACAGAATGCAAAATGAGTATATACATGAAAATGTTGGAGTAGCTTCAGTGGCAGATAATATTAGAGAGAGTCATCTTAGATGATTTGGTCAAGTAAACGTCGGCCTTCCCATTTTTGCCTATGTTAAGAAAGGTAGAGGTAGGCCTTAAAAACTTAGTTAGAAAGTACTAGAAATGATTTTTCTTTATTAGATGTAAATGAGAATATAACTTTTAACAGGACACAATGGAGAAAAAGATTCATGTAACCGACCCTGCATAGTGGGATAAAGGCTTGGTGTTGTTGTTGTATATTATTAATTTCAAGATAATGATCACATATTTTGCATTTGAATGTTGAAAAAGAAGCATATTTAAATTGCATAGTTGATCTTATAGATTATAAGCATGAAACAACAAAATTTTAGTAACATATGCATCATTATATTATTTACACTTAAATTGTTTATTATTTGTTAATATGATGAATAATTTGGTATGAACTAATAGCGTGATTATTAATCTAAAATAATTCAGATAGCAACTTTAGTCAAGATATTTCCTTTTTCAAATAATATTTCTTGTCAATGGTTACGTGAAATGCTTGACCTTGATAAAGTAGGTTTGCTTCCTTGCACATTGTTACACCGGGTTCAAATATTAGTATGCTAAAAAAATGTTCCCATTAAAGTGAGATGCACCGGGTTAGCTTCCTTGCACACTGTACACCGGGTTCAAGTATTAATGACGAGTCTGAAACCTGTGAAAATGAGTTTTTTCATTTTGCAGCTTCCCGAAATGGATCATTTCAGCCGGCTTTCAAAACTATGATATATAGTTGTACGGAAAATCTCAAATTCTGTTGTTCTTGGCAATTTACCCCATGATTTATTCCTTTTATGAGAAAGATTACAAGATGACAGTTTCTTTCCTATGTGCTTCAAAACCTAAATGATTTTTTATGGGATAGTAAATATGGATTTTGAAATTTGCTGCTTTTGTTCATCAGGTGTTGTTATTTTTCATTCTTAGTTGCTTCATAAACCCTGAAATTTGCTCTTTTTCGATATGGAAACTTAAATAAATTAGAAATAGCTTCAGAACTGTTTTTCTTTTTCATAATTTATATGATATATGAGTCCAAGTGTTTGATGACCAGAAAATCTGACATCTGTCCCTGGCTTTTGTCGCTCAATTGACGAAGAAGCTGTCAAAATGCCCATACATGAAGACTCGAATAATTTTATTCGCAATGCCAAAAGCAATCTTAAGCATGTTGTCAGTCATGCTGCTAAACCATCCGAAACTTTTATATCTAATGAAGCTTCAGAAGATCACCCTGATCATAAAGCTTATGTTAGAACTACGGAATCAGAATATAAAGGGGACGAAATCAGTGCAGCTTCTACCGTTGGGGTCTCCATCACTCAGGATGCTAAAATTTCAAAGGAACCTGAAGCACCTTATATAGAAAATATTCATCTGGATGCTGATGTAGCAGAGATACTGAAGCATGACAAAGATTCAGATCCTAAAATGCAGTTGACTTCAAAAGCTTCGAATAATACAAAGTCCAAGTACACTGTTCCTCAACCCTTTACTCTTGCAACTGACAAGCGTGCTTCAGTTGCCTGCAAATTTAATGCTGCTACTATATCTAACAATGATAAAAAACATACAATTATGAACAACACCGAGTCTCCAAACCTAGTAAAGAAGAATCAGGTTTGTATATTCTAATTTTTCTGAAGTTTCTTCTCGTTTTTTCTTCAATAATTTACCTTTGTTTTGTTTGTTGATTATAAACTTTGGGCAAGTGTAGATTTGACCATAACGGAACCTTTTTCCCAATAATAGTTTATAATGTTTTTCTTTGTGCACTTAGACATTGTTATAAGAAATACCCCACCCCTTTTTCTTTGCTTGGTCAAAGTTCTAAATATTGGAAGCTGTGTTTAAAAGTCACAGGAAGGAGACAATGAATCATATTAGTATGCTTCTACCCTATTGGATTTTAATGTCGTATGCAAATGAACATTATTTTGTATTGGATTTATTATGTTCGTTTCTTAGATGAGACTGTTCAAGAAAAATATGTTTGATTCATATTTTTTACTTCATTGCTCTAATATAGGCTAGCTTACATCTTGAATCAAGGAAACCTCTTCAGCCTGAGAATACAAAGCGCATTGTTGAAGAGGAGGTCTGCTCTGTCGTTTCCTTGTATCCTTTGTTTAGTGTTGTTATAGCAATTATCCCTCTCGTTGTTTCTTAAAAAATGCCATTAGTTTCCTGAACAATACATAGAAGTACAGCTTCTGTCAAGTCCTTCAGAAGAAGGAGCACAGTTGCATCAGCTCCCACTTTCAGAGTCAGCGAGCGTGCTGAGAAATGGAAAGAGGTAATTTATTCTTTATTTATATATGGTTTTGATATTGTTTCTAAGAAATACTTAAGTGGTTTCTTCTTTCTATCATTTTAGTTTTATTCTAAGTTAGAACAGAAACAACAAGCTGTTGAAGCTGAGAGGATTGAGTATGAAGCCAGAAAAAAGGTATATTGTTTATTTAACAATTGATTGAGTGACCAGTGCAATTTGCAATAATCTACGTTTTGGTTTCATCTCTTTCACTATTTGTAAGTAGTTAATTATATTTTCATGCTGAACATTTGGCCTTTTTCCATCCCGCTAGTTCAGAGGAATTTCAAAATCTACCATGTGGGATGGTAAAACCTAAGTTTTCTATCAAAGTTAGTGATATGCATGTAATCTGTGGATTGAGGATTTTATGCTAGTGCTTCTTTAGGCATTGTCAAATGTTTTTTGACTCAACATTATCTTCACCAGGCTGTGGCCACTATCTATAAAATAGATATGCGCATTGGTTTTTTCTAATGTTGCATACAAACCAGACATACTTGCATTGGGAATATTATGGAATGTATCCTTACTTTAAAAAGCTTGATTATTGTTTTTTTGGCTACCAGCCTTTCTTCTTCGGCATCAAATCAGAGTTTTTGGTGTTTGCTACATTGAAACCTCTGAACATTTAGTAAGATAATTGTTTTATGCATAGCAGACTGCAACTTTTTGAGGCATTATCAGTCCAGGATGAAAAAACTATAATCTTTATAATAAAGCAATGTATCTGATGTGCAATGCATTTTTACCTTTTCTTAGTCCGTATTTAAAAGAAAAGAACGGATGAGAACTTAATTTGCTGTTTGTTTGTTTACTTAGATGTTCCGGCTTGCATGGTTTAACCTAATTACTATTACAGCTGATGGAATTAGAGTTTATATTTTTTACCCAAGCAGGAGAAACATAATTTAATGAAAATCCTTGGTGCCCTTAACTTGAGTGGGATAACATGCTTTGAATTAAAACTGATTTTCATTTCAGATTCGAGAGATTTGGGAGATTTGAGGGGTTTACTAAAAGAGATTTACTAATTGAGAAAATTAATATAAATCAAATCCAATTAGAATTTTAATTAGATCTAATTTAAGTTAACTTTCCTAAAATAGGGATTTTTATTTAGGAAACAAATTCAAATTCAAAATTGTTTGAATTTGGAATTCAAATTTGTTACTAAATTAAAGGGGCAATAATTAGGAAGACTTACTTACCTAAAATAGGAATCCTTAATTAGGAAACAAATTCAAATTCAAATTGATTTGAATTTTTGAATTTGAAATCATTGCCAAATTAAGAGGGCTAAAATAGGAAGGGCTTTGAATGTAAGACTAAATTTGTGGAGCCAATGAAGGAAGGGGGTGGCCGATTGGGCTTGGGAGTGGTGATGGGTTTCTCGGTTGGGTTGTGAAAGCCGGCGGTTCAAGGCGGAAGGAGGAAGGGGCCGGTGGTGGTGGAAGGAGGGGAAGTTGGATCTTGGGCCGGTGGCTAGGTGGAGGGAATAGGGGAGGTGGCCGACGGCTTTTGGAAGGGTGAGGAAGAATCGACTAGGAGAGAAGGAGGGGGTAGAGTGACCGCTAGAAGAAAGAAGAAGGGGAATAAGAGAAGGAGAAAGGAAGTGTAGGAAGATAAAGATAAATCATGAGCCCGGACACATGTTGCGGCTGATGGGTGCTGTGTTGCCCTCACCTTCACCTAGGGACTTCAAACCATGAGCCGGGCACTTCCTGCGGATGATGGATATTACGCTTCCCTTACATAGGGATCTCACCGAAGTTCTTCCCCAAGAACAAGAGTGCATAAATTTTTTTTATTAATAATCTATCATACTAATACAATAGCAAAGGCCTCTATATATAGGCTTCAAAATGAAAGAAACTTAAAAAAAAGACGAACATGCCCTTAGGGCTTACAAAAGACAACTCCCTCAAAAGAGGGTAAAAATGGAAAATGCAAAAATACAATTAGTAAATTAAGATAAAGTGAAATGATCTCGGCCGTTGATCTTCGTCTCTTCCTCAAATAAGCGTTCACCATTGGATGTCCTCATCAAATTCAATACCTCCCTTTCTTTTAACTTCTCAAGCAAGCTTGATTGTAGTTTAGAGCTTTAAATGCTTTACATTATCTACATGAAAGTACTCATTACCCTTCATATATGTTTTAAGAGAATACAATTGACTTTAGTAACCTTAGCACTCATGAAAATAAATATTTTTATTTTTATCAGCGTATTAATAAAACTGAAGTTACAGAGATTTTAAAGAAAATGAAGTGTGAAAAAGCTGTTGGACCTGATGATATTCCAATAGAGGTGTGGAAATGGTTAGGAGACGAAGGAATTTCTTGGCTTACTAAACTTTTTATTATTATTTTAAAGACTAAAAAAGATTTCAGATGAGTGGAGAATGAGTGTGTTGATTCTTATATTTAAGAATAAAGGCGATGGACAAGATTGTACAAATTATAGAGGAATTAAGTTAGTGTGTCATAACTTTAAAACTTTGGGAGAGAGTTATGGAGCATAGACTACATCGTGATACTAATGTTTCTAAAAATTAATTTGGATTCATGCCGGGTAGGTCTACTATGAAAGCTATACATTTATTGAGAGGTTTGATGGAGAAGTATAAAGAGAATAAGGAGGATTTACATATGATATTTATTGATTTAGAGAAAGCATATGATAAAGTTCCAAGATAAGTACTATGGAGAGTTCTAGAAATGAAAGGGACTAGTAATGCTAATACTCAACTCATTAAGGATATGCATGTAGGAGCTATTACTTGTGCTCAAACACAAGGTGGTTTAACCAAGTATTTTCTTATTTCAGTTGGATTACATCAAGGATCATCCTTAAGCCCATATCCTTTTGGTTTAGTCATGGATGTCCTTACTAGACATGTGCAAGAGGATTTACCCTGTTGTATTCTTTTTGCTGATGATATTCTTCTTGTTGATAAGTCTAGAGAGGGAGTTTAAGATAAACTTGAATTACAGAGTTCAACCTTAGATACCAAAGATTTTTGTTTGAGTAGATCTAAAATCGAATACATGGAGTATAATTTTAGTAATAATAGATCTAGTGCGAGGATTGTGACTTTAGGTGATCAAGTCATTAATAAGAGTACACATTTTAGATATATTGGGTCTATTGTCCATAGTGATGGTGAAATAGATGAGAATATTATTAGTATAATTCAAATTGGATAGTTGAAGTGGAGGAATGCACATTGGGCTTGTGTGATAGAAAAGTACCCCTCAAACTTAAGAGAAAATTCTTTAAGATGGTAGTGAGACCTGTAATGCTTTATGGCGCAGAATGTTGGCCACTAAAAGAGAAACATAATATTAAGTTAAGTGTTGTAAAAATGAGGATGCTTAGGTGGATGAGCGACTTTACTCTTAGAGATAGGATACGAAACAAGCATATATGTGAAAAAGTTGGAGTAGCTCCAGTGGCAGATAAGATTAGAGAGAGTCGCCTAATATGATTTGGTAACATAAAACAACAGCCTTCCGATGACCCGATTAGGAGAGTAGATGTATTAGATTTAGCTTATGTTAAGAAAGATAGAGTTAAACCTTAGAAGACTTGGTTAGAAAATATTAGAAATGAACTTTATTAGTTTTAAATGAAACTTTGACTCTTAAATGTGGGATTCAAAAATTCGGGCCCCGGTGTTCCCATCTTCGCTTTCATTCAAATCAGTGTGCTCATCTGATGTTGCATCACCACTAACTGTATGAATCCCCTATCATTTGCGTGTTGCTGCAAGCTACTAGAGGAGTTGTATTCATCATTAATTTTTATACATACTGATTAATGAATTACCTTATCCGCAGTCGTCATTTGTCAGCAAATTGGTGCATTCACTTATCAACTTGTGACTGTTGCTTGTAGAGTAATATTGTTGTCGACTGCATGGACACTCTAGTGCTTATTGCATGCTACATGTACTTGTATCATATCCACCTTCACTATTCACAGGTGGTGTGGTGTATTTGTTTGCAGCAATATTAGTTGCATGCAAACTATTGATGTTGACTTCAAGGCATTGTTTCACTCAGTGCATGTTGTCTTGATGTGATTTGTTGTGTGCATGTAGGGGTGTAAACGAGTCGAGTCGAGTCGAGTTTTGACACTATCGAGCTCGGCTCTTTAGTCAGAAAGCGAGCTCGAACTCGAGCTCATTCCACCGTTAACGAGTTCGAGCCGGCTCGCGAGCCTCGGAAGTCCGGACAACCTTCGAGCGAGTCGTCTTCCTTCGAGCGAGTCGTCTTCCTTCGAGCGAGTCGTCTTCCTCGTCGGCGTCATCCACGACCACGTCAAGCTTGCCATTGGAGAAGAAGATTTAGGCGTTGAGCATTAAAAATAAAATATATTTTTTTTCTTATGGGGATAAGAGATGAGCTGAGATAATTAATGAGTTTTGAAAAAAAGCAAAAGAAGCAGCAGCTTTTCACCTTCCCAAAAAAATAAGAGCAGCTGCATGTCAGGCTTTTTCATTGGTTAGATAAATAAAAATAACATTATATATATTTTTTATGCAAGAAATATCGAAATGATATTATTTTTTTCATTTTTTTAGGAATTGCCGGTTTGACCATTTTAATTTTTGGAAATCCCGCCCGCTGGAAATCACGCCTTTGTTCAATCGAGCTTGGCTCACGAGCTTCGAGCCGAGCTCTCATCGAGCTCGTTTAATAAACGAGCTCGAGTTTAAGCTCGAGCTCGCGGCTCGATAAGCTCGGCTCACGAGCTCATTATCGAGTTGAGTTCGAGCCGCCTCACAAGCCGGCTCGGCTCACTTACACCCCTATGTGCATGATAGGTTTTCATTGTTAATTTCAGGTGTTTTCGTTTCAATTTACAGGCGGACTGTTGCTTGCATAACAGGCCTTTTGCTATTACATGTGGGAAGTACTTATGTGTTTCGTAATCAGTTGTCGTCACTTGTAATTACAGTGTATTCAGCTTCATAGGGATAGTTGTAGGAATTTGTTGCATTCATTATCCTCATTTTTTGTGTACCATGTATTCAGGTGCCAATGATTTATATTTGTTTATACTTGATTATCCTTCATTTGTATGCATTAGGGTCTTATTCATGACAAGTTCCTTGCTCGTTCACTTG